GGGTCAGTCAGTGCAAATGCTGAGACAGCATCTTGCTGCTGTGCAACATCACTAAGGGACTATTTCCTTGCGTGTGCTTTTCCATTACAAATTTACACCATGACAACATGCCTCAAAGCAAGTAAGTGTTTACAGAAAACATAATCTAGTCAGAATTGTATAGTCAGAGATAGGAGTGTTGTGGCTAAGTCATAAAAAATGGCTTTTTCCTTACATTTTATTTCAGCTTCTACTTAATCTGATGAGTCCAAGTATTCATGCACTCTTTTGAAATCACGGCACTCTTGGCGTTTTTATACCCCTTATGAGTTAGGTTTAGTACCTTCAGTTTCTATCATTTTCTTTTACAGTGGAGGAGGATGCAAGTCCTTTTGCATACTTCAGTGGTGAGAGCTAAACCAAGCAGTATCTCAGTATTGTGGTGTGTCCCAGTTATCTGAACTGAGGAGCTGTCCACTGTGTCCATCTACCTTCTGAGCCTATCACTGAGGAAGGCCTTCAGAGGAAGGCTGATGTGCATCTTGGCTTCACCCTGACGGGGAACCAGGACACGATGGGCATTCACGCCTGTCCTCAAGAGGTCAGACATGCTCCTGGGACCTCCACTTTGGACTTAGCCTCTGAGCCTGACGTTTAGATATCTCCTAGATGAGCAGTGCGTACACAAAGCTAGTCATGGTTGTTTGAAGTTCACTGTGTCTTTTTTACACTATGTATATACCGTAAAGAGCAAAAGACAGTATCAAGCCTGAAAAACTCTTCCCACCCAGGTGCATGAGAAATAGCACTTTCTCTCGGGCACTTTGCAACCTTTATCCCTGACTTACCGTGGGTGTACAAAAATGAGAAAAATAATTAGGCCTATTTAATGCTAATTTATTTTCTACTGCCAAACTGACCTGGTGGTTTATTCCAGCATTTTGAGCTCTCTCTCAGAATATCTATCAGAATTTTTAATAGGGATCTTAGACCTTCCTTATATCTTTACATGAGAGAATCGATAATAGACAGTCCTGAAATATGATGTTAATATGTTTGCTATTCTACACAACTATTCTTAATATCACAGATTTGTTTTTTTTTCAATATTTGCAACTCAGTTTTTCATATTCCTTCCACACTCCTGCTTGAAAATAGAGAGGGGAAAGTCACAGAATGTTAGAAAGCACTCATTTAATTTGCCTTTAAGTATGGCAGGCTGCAGGAGGAGGAAATCAAGAAGTTGTCACCCTGAAATGAGAACAAAGCCAAGTGATAGTTGCATTGTAAAAACATTAAGGAAAGTAATTGCTTATTACAGTCAATCCCAGTCCTTTCAAATGACAAACCAGTTAAAGAATTTCTAGGTAGGCTAACTGCTTTCTCTGGTATTTTAGAAAATGGAAGAAAACAGAAGGTAAGGCATATGTTGTGTTAAGAGAAATTCTGAGATTGAAGGTGTGATGCCACTTAGACACTGACAGCTGCAGTGGTCATAACTTAACATGTCTTCGCAAATACTAAAATCATAGAATCAAAATTCTTTTGTGGTATGGAACAGCACTGCTCAAAAAGCATACAGTGTTTTGAAAGATCTCTTGGCTGTTTCACAAATTATTTTTCTCATCTGTAACTGCTGCAAATTATAAGGCTATGTTTCTACTTTCTATGTCTAGTTAACATATTTATCGTACGTATAATTTTTAACACTCCACAGTGTTGTCTTGATATGACCAGGAACAAAGAACGTAAGACATTTAAAAACACAAAGGAGTCCACCTGATCTAATAGGTTTGAACATTCACATTCAACTCGGTCTCGGTATGTTTGGTTTTTTTTCTTACTACAGTCCACTATCGATTTCATCTCTGGAAGCAGACCAACCCATGTTCTGAATTCTTCGCTTCAGTAGCCCTTAGAATTTATCCATGTTTAACCCTCCCATTAAATAGTGCTGCTTAAATTCCTTTTTACTTTTCAAATTGATAGAATAACTGTGTTCCGCTCTATTTGCTAATGAAATGAAATCCTCTGTTTGGCCTTCACAGTTTTGTTGGGCACTAGGCTGATGGGTTTACCGGGGTATGTTTTGAGCCTTGCTACATTCATAAAATCTTCCTGAATTTGCTGGCTACTGCATGCATCTGCTCCATTGATATTTCTATCCCGATTCTCCATGTTGTTCTTCAACAGCTTTCTGGATGATCTTTTCAATTAGAGCACAGTCTTGAGATTTTATTTTCCCCAGAAGAATTATGTAACGTTTATACTGAGTCATATTTGCCATCTGCTGATCCAACCACATAAACAATCCAAATTCTTAAAAACCTGAGTTTTCCTTAGTATCTGCTTCTAATCTAATTTTTCACAAATGTGCAGGTTTATGCACATACCCCTGCCTTATGATTAGCTCTTCACAGAATACTGGCAGCTCTTCAGAGGCTCTCGCCAAACTTGAAGAGATCTATTCATGTAGAGCATGCAGAGGATACATGTGAGAAGGTATTTATCAGGCAATGCATGTAATTGCATACAAAATCAAATGGAAGGCAAAAATAAAGGGAAATTATGGCTACCTTAACAGAGGACATCAAGAAGCTTCAGAATGCAGGGGTATTCTTAGTTTATGGCTAACTTCTTTGGAATTAGTTAATGCTCAAATGGCTGGTAACAAGATACATAACTTTCTACTCCAGCTTTAAATTACTGTTTTCCACTGTGACTCTGCTGTGACTAAGGACTTAACTGTAAATCCTAATTCATGTGATTATACATTTATTTATTTAAACTATAATGAAACACTTGTGATCACAGAATCAGACCTTAAAATTGCTATTTATATCAGACTCTTTCAATCAGAAAGGCCATAGTTACAGAGTCCTGCCACCTAATAATTTTATGCCAGTGCTTAATTCCATGTCCTGTTGACAACATTGGAGAAGGCACCATTTCACATTCTGAAAATGCCAAACTATGTAAATTACATTTTCTAGCTAAAAAATAGATACTGTTTTGTTGCTGTGGACAACTACATTGGAACAACAGGTCTCCATGATGATAATTTTTTTCCTTTGTAAGAGAAAATCTGACACCAGAAAGACATTTCTATTGATTTTTAAGAGATTAAAATTGTTTAATTAGCTAATAAAAATATGAAAACACCTGTAAAACTGTTACTGACAGGGACTAAACCCAATCATTTGTGAAATCAACAAGGATCTTACCACTGACTTGAATGTACCATAGGTCTGGAGTAATTAACATTCTCTCTGAAAATGTAACATTAAAATCCTGCCTACCACAATGTTATTTTGCCATTGCTGTGGTTTGCATCTTGCGAGCACAGTTCATGGGAGAATGCCACTGATCTCAGTGGGGGAATGGTAAGGGGTCTTAACTTCTTTGCCTATTGTACCTATGGTTCTACCTACACAAATTACTAAACTAGAACAGAAACATGGGGCTGTCATTTGGCTTTGCACATGTGCACAGTATCAAATGGTGCATTAAACAAGGATGTGCCTGTGAGCTGGCCAGCACTGAATATTTTCAGCATAGCTTGTAAGAACCCGAAAGCCATAAGGGATGATTAGTTTTGGTGCCTGGAAAAGTCCTACAATTTAGGTTACATGTTTGAAACCTGTGACAGAACCTGGAGTACCAGAACAAGGGATGACTGGATCTGACACCAAATATATTGTTATACCTCCCATCCTTTGAAACATTAGAAGGCCACGATCCTGGCGTTTGATGGGTGCGAGCAGTCCCGCCTGCCCGATTCGCCGAGCCAGCAACTCAGTTTTGCTCCTGACCTCAGCGGGGCCCGGATTTTCCTTTTTGTCTACACCGGTTTGCTCAACGAAGCAGGCTCGTATCTGTGCTGGAGCGTCTTGCCATGTCCCCGGATGGGGTTAAATCCCTGGTGGGGGGATCTCCTCACATACACACGCATAATGCCACGGTCCCCTCAACCCCACCCCACCCGTACCTGCTGCTAATTCGCCTCAGGGCGGGTGTGCCTCAGCACCCACCTCCGACCTGCCCCGCACCCCTCAGGAACCCGCCCTCCGCTCCCGGAGCTCCCCTCCGTCCGCGGGGCAGCGCAGCCTCGCCCCTTGCCGCACCCAAGGGCACGCGCGGCCTTCTCAGCGTGGGGAGGACCCCCCCGCCCTTCGCCCTCCGCCGCCCTCGCCCCGGTAGGCAGGTCCCCCCCTTCCCCGGAGCTG